CCCCCCCCCCCCCCACATGCCAGTGTGACTTTGTGTGCTCACCGCAGAGCCCCTTGGGCGACTGACGGAGCGATTTGCAGGAGGTGCCCTAGGATTGGATGCCTAATCTGGGCTGTACTAGCTGGGGGAGGGGGATGGGGGGGATGAACATCAGTGAGCAGAATCCTCTCCGGACGTACAGAGGACAGCTAGTCAGGTGACGACTCTTCTTAAAAAGAACAGGTCTGAAGAGGCAAAGGAAACGTTGCTAATTCAAACGTGTCCAGGGATTGATTGACTTCCAATGCCCCCCCCCCCACCAACAGGCATTCCTCGACAGGCTAGGTCCTGTTGCTACTTTTTCCTCACCTGCGATCCATCACTGCGTTACGCAAAGTACTCGCGACGGTAGAAACAACACGGCATTTTCCGTTTTCCCATTCCGTTGAGACAGAGTGAGGAACAGCAAGAGGACGGCGAGGCAGATGGACACAGGAGAGCCTTTTCACTGGCAGGAGACCTAACTGCCCAACACTTACACAGGGAGACGCACACTGCATACTGTAACCCCCAGTGATACCACTGTATAACCATGTAGCTGCAGTGCCTGTTCCTCCCCGGTTCGGCCTACCATACCGTGCTTGTGTTTGCTTTGTTGCGCTCTCTTCATTTGCACAAATAACAGCCCCACTGGAAGCATCTCCCTGCAGTGCCCCCCCACTTCACAGCCACTTTTGGTTTGATTAACAGCAAAGATTCTTAGGTAACACCTTTGGTAACAGAGTTGTGAAGATCCTGCCTAAGTGAAGTTCTATCATTTAGATAAACCTCCTGCACCACGCAGCATGGGTGAGAGCGGACACATGCCAACACTGCAGGTCCCGCCTCACACTACTACTACAGAAAGGCTTCATCACAAAAATTTACTGGAGATACTTTTGCAATATCCGACAACGAAAAGCCAGGGGTACATCTCCCGAAATCATAGTTCCTAACAACATGAGCAACTTATATAGTTGGAACAATGCGACTCAACAGTTCCTACTATGTAAGCTTTTTGGGAAACGATCTGATCACTCCGTCTGCAGAGGTCAAGAACGATGCTCTTCACTAGAAAACATGCTTTCCAGGTTAACGCCATTTTCCGAGCCCTTTATTTCCCAGTAAGCACGCCACTGGGGCTTCCTCAGAAGGCCGCAGAGACCCACCAGTTGGCCACAACCGCCGGCACTTCATCTCTGCTAGCCCAAGAACATGGGAATTATGAAGCGGGGCCAAGGCTGGATCACTCCAAATGGCCTTTCTTCAGCTGTCCGGATCAGCTGCGCAGCCATCGATGAGAACTTGGCCGGTCTGCGTAACCATGGCAACTGCAGCTGGGCTGTGTGAACCGGCCATGCTCTTAAAGAGCCACACGAGTGCCACTCCGGCACTGACTTCTCCTCCCCCCCACGTAACAGGTGTGGCCCGACTGGGGGGCCGGACCGCATCGCCACGGGGACCACTGCTTACTTGGCAAGAAGGTTAGTCTGCAGAACTCTCGCGTTGACTACCGCCGTGACGTTGCCGTGAATGTGCACATGCTCAGTACGCGCTACTACGCAGGGCACAATTTGGCACACCGAGCGGTGTCTAGTCCACTGGCCCTCAACCTTTTTTTGCAATGTGACCCAATTTCTACCATACCAGCTCAGTCGAGACCTTATATCAAATATAGCTTTAAATTAACGCTATGTTCAAGCACGTAGTGAACTCTGCAATTCAAGCCAATCAATGCCTATCGCACAAATCTGATTGGATGCGCCAGTGAATTTTAAATTAAGCATCGGTGGTTTGGTTTCTTGGATCGGTTGCATGTTCACTAGTTTTGCGCTAAGCAGTTGCAGATCCAAGACCCGTTTATATAGGTTAATTCTAGGATTGGGGCTGGGAAATCTGATCACGGATCAGCATAGGAGCTCGCTGGTTTTAAAATGCTTACACTTCCAACTCTGCCTCGCGACCCTTTCAGAACTTGCAGCGACACAAATTTGGGTCGCAGCCCATGGGTTTGAGGATCGCTGGTCTAGTGGACCAGCATATTTGCCAGTAAGTGCAACATATCCCAGCAGGACAGAGTCTCCGTGTGGACGGTCAGGAGCTGGTACCACTACCAAGCTGAGAAGGGAGAACCGAGAGAGACGGGGTGGGGGCAGCCGGAACCTGCAGGGAGAAGGGCTGAAAATAGAGAGGTCTGGGAACCTGAGATGGGCGAGTCCAAAACAGACCCCAACCTCACACCTGCATGGAGCAGCAAACTACCTAGCAGGGCGGCAGGTGGAACAAACCAGACACTAGGCCACAGGTGAGGGGACCACACAAAGAAAATCACCTACAAAAACTCAAAACCAGTTCAAATCCTAACTAGGAGGGCTGATAACTATTACCCTTGAGAAATGTGCTTAATTTGAACAGTTTCAATGACATCAAACAGTAGGAGAACAGGGAAAACGGTCTGGATAAAAACAGCCGTTGGGCCTAAAATAAGCCTGCAGCACAGTGTAGGGAAGGTGGGAGGCAGGACAGGACGGAACAGTGCCGGCCTTTCAATACTCGGGTCAGAGGTCCCTTCACTCCAGCCGCCCCCCCAGCCCTCCCCTTCCTCCCCTGACCTTGGAGTGGTGTTCGGTGAACGTGGATTATCAGCAGCCATTTGGGTCACACAGCAGGGCTGTGGGCGGTGGGGAGGGGTGGGGGGGCTAGGATGCCAGAGAGACACACTGAGGGCCAGTCTCTGGGGGTGCTTTTTAAGATATTAGCATCTACTTGACCCTGTAGTCTGTTAAACTTAACACTGGCTAGTCAAATACATTGCTGGTTACATTTTTTTTTAAACATACAGATACACCAACTATATAGCTATCAAGGAGCCAGCTTCAGTGCTGGAAGGCTGAACTGCCCATGTGAAATCACTCCGTGCTTCAGAAAACAGCAGCAAGACCCATCCTGGGAGGTTTAGTTAAATTCCTATGCTCTGTGTGCCCCCCCCCCCCGCCCCGCCTTGACTTGCTGAAGTAGCAGGGAGATATACAATCACTTGTATATCACTACCAGTGCTGCCAAACCCCGCAATAAAGTCTCACTTCAAAAGGGCATTCCTTGTTAAAAACCTGCTCCCCCACTACACTGCAGCCGCAGTGTTATTGTGAATTATGTCCACTGAACAGCCACACACCACACTGCCCTAAGTGCACACTGCAAGTTCAGCCCAGTGCGCAACTCCATCTACCTTCATATTTCATTACAGTGGCCAAGTAGCAGCTCTCTTAGCAAGAGACCATCTACATCAGGGGTGTCAAACTCCAGTCCTGGGGGGCCGGAGCCCTGTGTAGCTTAGTTCTTTCCCTGTTCCACCACAAATGATTCAGCTCAAGAGCTGTGTGGTACAGTAATTAGCACAAGGAGTTGAATCAGGTGTGTTAAATGAGGGGAAACCCAAAAACGTGCAGGGCTCTGGCCCCCCAGGACTGGAGTTGGGCACCCGTGATCTACATCCTCAATAAAGAGCAATTCAACCAGGGGAACCTGACTTAGCCCTTCTGCTGCCCTCCAAATGGCCTGTCCCTCATAGGCATCTGCTGGAGCCCCACTGTGAAAACCACTCCAGATCCAAGCCAGAAATAGAGCCAAAATCACATCACCATCCAAATGGCCTAGACCCTGGTCAACAGACACAGGCCCCTAAGCATAACATGAACCTGGAGACTGAGACAGCCTGAAGTGACAGCCATGCAGAGAACAGATGCAACTCAAGGCTGAACCACATGGATTATAATCTCATTAATGACAACAGTAGACACACTACAGGAAGTGGATCCTCTGATTACGGGAGGACAGCAAGGCTGGCAGTGCTGATGGCAGGGGGGCAGGGTAAGATCTGGTCAGGTTAGGCCAGTACCAGCACTGGGAGCATGGGCCAGCAATACAAAAGAGAACTGAGAATATGTGAGGCAAAAACACACACGACTGTCAACACTGGAAAAAGCCGGGCCAAGTATATGAAGCAAACAACGGCTCAATGTTGGCTTTCATTTGGCAAGAAGTGAGAAAGCGGACTGACATCCATTAGCGCATCCCTGAAACTGTCCTCAAGGATCAGGCCTCGGCGGCAGAGGGTGGAGTGCAGGCCGTTGAACACAGCGGGCACGTTGGAGGACCAGGAAAACCACCGGCCGGTATAACAAACACATCATTGGGGGCACCAACCCATCGCTGAAATATCAGTACAAGCCAATACGGGATGCTGTTGTGTTTCCCGTTATATACCGATTATAGAGCATCCCGGAGATACGCCGCCCCACATGACATGCCAGAAACCGAATGCTTTTATTGAAGGAGCAAATCACGGTGAAGCATTTTTTGGCTTTAACTGCAACACCCAAAGATTATCTCGTATATAAACAGACGAATATTTATACCAATGGCAATCCGGAGCTAAGCACAGAATGTGTCAGATCAGTGGGGCTGGGTCTACGGAGCTGCTGCCTTGAACAGACCGATACTGCTATTCCCACCCCTACAAGCCACCCAGTTCCTGTCCCCGCAACAAAAACACTAATATTTTGAAAGTTAAGTCTAAACTTACGATCGATCGGTGGTATTTTGCTACACTACGATCTGGGCATTACATAGCACGGACGATCAAGGTTCAAAGTTAATCGCCAATCGAGGCCCAAAGGGTCCGTCTGATTTCAGGAAACGTTACATTGTGTCCATCCAGTCTGACCACTTATATAATGTTTGTGTATTTTAGGAAGTGGGCGCAGGTCTCGGCTAAGCCCCCGTCCCACGGACTTACCCCATTCCAGAAATTCAGAGACGTTCTTCTCCCTCCGAAGGGGCGAGTTGCTGCACTCGTTATAAAGACAGATCAGGATATCCAGAAGCGTTTCCACACTCAGGAAACTTTCGCCCTTCTGGTGGCCGTCCAGCAGCAGCTGTTCCAGCCTCTTCAGCCTCACCTTCGCTGACATTTTCCTTGAATACAAGTCACCGCTCCCTCTCTTGGAGAAAAGGCACCCCGACAAATTCCTCCTCCACCTCTTCTCTCCTTCCTCCCCCTTCTCCCGCAAACACACAAAAAAAAGAAAAAATGGATTTATCTACCCGAGGTTTAGTGCTAAAGTCCCGGACTCCTCCAACTAGAATAAATCCGACATTTTGTTAAATTTCTGTTCTACGGCCCAGACTTTTTCGGGTCTGTTCCAGTCGCCACCATGTTCGCTTCCCTCTGATTCAGCGTCTAACCGGTCCCATTTGCTTTAATCCCAAACAAATCTCCACTTTCCACTTTGGAGAAATGGAGATCTCTTCGCTCGTTAGTTTCTTTCGTCGACCAATCGTTGAAGCTCCACCGGCTGCGAACAAGAATGATGGAAAAATATCCGGGGATCCCAAATTGCTGAGTTTCGTAGGGACCTTCAGCAACACCAGTTCCTTTTACAGCCACGGGAGCCACCTTTTTTTTCGGCCAACGCACGGAGCTTGGTGGTAGCAGCGTGGAATATGGCTGAAGTGCTGTCCAGCCCTATCTCTCTCACTCACACTCACTCACAGGGAATCCGGACCGGGAGCGCAGAGCCCCGCCCACACACCGGAAACGCTGCCGAGATCCATTACGTCATCGCCTGATTGACAGGCACCGGGAGACAACTGGCACTGACTTCATCCCTGAAAGACACCCGGCGCACGCACAAGCTGCTGTATCCGAAAAAAAATGGATCAAGTCATTAAAGATACCGATTCTTATTTTAAATGAGCACGAATGGAAAAATAAAAGTTTAGGAGTAGGGAGGACGCTGATGACTGCAAAACTGCCGGCGTGTATTGCTGTGTGTTAATGATCTGTTTCGCCGCAGGCAGAGCAGACGACAGCATTTTTCTTTCCTGTAATCATTATTAACCTGAGTAACAAAGGGTATTAGCATGTCGTTTTCCGATTTTCTGTGCTTAATTTGTGTGTTTAATAAGACTAACTTTTATGTGTTATGTATAGAAAGAAACTAAACGTATGTAATATTAGTATCGGCCCAGTGCAGTCATGCCTTGAAGCCAACAAACCTTTGTAGATATCCTTATCATGTGTGCTGTGCATGTCCCGGTTTAACGACTGAACAACTGATACGCTACATTGAAACCTATCTAGAGCCCCCGCCCCAGACTCACTGAGTCATCCAGAGTAAATAAAAAGCAAGGAGACGAATCTGGCAGGCACACACAGGACAGCTGTGGTGTGCTGGATTATTCGTGTTTGGTCATGTGACAAACAGGATTTTCTGCTTGTTTACCTATGCATGTGTTGTTGGGGATGGACAGAATGGCGTGTGCAAAGGTTTGTCAGACAAAGTGTTGAGAGCAGGTATGAGGAAATGGAACCAGGTCAGACACTGGGCTTGGCGGCGTGGGACACGCAGTCGAATGGCACTGGTGAGACCCCACAATGCTGCCCCTTGAAGCCTCTCACTGGCCGCTGGGTAACTGCCACCCACTGAGAAAAGCATGTTTTGTCTGAACAGCAAGGGCGCACAATGTGTGCTTTGCTGTTCCTTCAGTCCACTGCTGAGCCAGTAGCTTGATTCATTGTGTCTCACATTGTCAGACTGCATCTGGGATGAAATCTCATCACCTGTGTCTGGAGCAACAGTCCGCTGTGGATTCAGGAGGCAACAGTTTGTGAGGATGACAAATCGAAGTGTGTCGCAACATTTCGCCCCTCCCTGCATTGTCTGCTTTTCTCCTGTAGGGCGGCAGCATTGTGTAATGACCCCATTCTGGAACCTCACACCCCCCACAGCACGCTATGCACTTGTATAGTCGCACATATACACACAAAGGTATGTCATACTCTAGAGCTCTGAATCACAGACAGTTTGTGCAGTTTCTCATGCCAGTCAGGGTCTAAACCTCCAAATCCTCTGTAGCGGGAAGAAGGGTCCCAGGTCCTTGCCTGATGGCTGTGCTCCTCCCCTCCAGCTCTGCTTTCAGCTCTCTGTCATTGTCAAGGTCCTTTATTCAGGTTACGGAAGCAGAAAGTGGAACAGGGAAGCTTCCGGAACCGTCGCACAGCGCTGTGGCACTGCACACAGGCGAACTGGATTGACTGAGGCGAAGGAGACGGCAGGAGAGAGAGAGAGAGAGAGAAAGCGAGTGGGACAGGCTGAGGAGTGGACTTCGGATCTCAGAAGTGGGACAGTGTTAATGGATATTACTGACAGGGAGGCATAGGTAGGAAATACTGGTCCGGCAGTAAGACGGGACACCGATCGGATGCCTGAATCAGATCAAGGCAATGACAAGGTGGCTAAACGTCATTGGAGGGCGTGTGCCGGAGATCTCCGTCAGACCTGTAATCACGGTGCATTGATCTGCTGAAGTGTCTGCATGCCAGCTGTTAGGGGTCACTTCAAGCAGGCGGCCCTTGTTGACCCTCCTTGTCAGCAGAATAGTGCCTGCATTGATCTGTCCATTGTGGGGCCTCCTCACTCACTCACTCACTTCCTGTTTTGTCTGTTATGGTATACTTCGGAGTGAGTCCATTTTACGCCACTCTGGCAGCTCTAATTTCGCTTCTGAGGTTTTGTTTGTTGACTTTTTATATGCTGGTTTACATTGTACCCTGAGGTACTATTTGACTTTCAGAGTCAACATTGCATAGTTTAATAGTTTAGCTGTACCAAAGCTCCCAAATCCAGTCAACGAGTGGAAGGCCTTCTTTGGAAGCGATCTGTTGTCCGTTATCTCTGTTTACCATGCCTGAGTCCATCTGCCTTGCATCACGGTGTCCCTTGTCTTCTTATCAGGCTGGGCTGGACTTTGTAAATCCTTGCTGGGCTCCAGACCAGGGGAATAAGTGGCACGGGCCAGGGGTGGGACAGTTTGATGCTGCATGCTAACGCTCAGAGTCAGTAGACGTGCCGGCGTCGGCGATGGATTAGCAACGTTAGCTCACTAGGTAGGCGGCTGAGACTCTGTCGCTGAAGGAAAAAAAATTGAATCGGATATCCTTTGTTCTTAATGTCTTTATTATGCACTTACTTGCTAGACTTCCTTAACCAGAGGGACACGACTGAGCAGCATGAAACTCCTACATTCACAGAAATAGGACTGAATGCAAAACAGGTCATTGCAGAATGGCTTTCTCAGGAGTGCTGCACAGCAGAGCATGACATGAGTATTAATTAGGACATTGAGGTATGCGACGTACTGGGCCGCACAAAACATTCCGCTGATTTGCCGCCATTACATAAATTGGGTTGCCAGGTAATCGGACATCACAGCCTTATGACAACTGCAGTTCCCTTCAGCACCATCAAAATTTGGATTCATTGTTGTAGCATTTTCACACATTTTGGGTTCCGCACCACACCAAAACACAAGAAATGGGGCTGACCTTTAATTCCAAGCAGACAGCAGATAAACTCAGGAATCTAAAGAATGCTCCGATGAGTTTGAGGACAAACCTCGATCATTAACTTGTGATAAGAATGATAATATATTACAGCTATAAAATAATAATGACTGTTACATATTAATTTAGCAGAATGATTGCTCTATGTAAAGCATTACTGTAAATGCCTAGAACAAAATAATTCACATTAAAATGTATTCTATGTCTACCATCTACTGGTCAAATTGGTGAATTGCAGTCGTCGATGTAAAGTACAGTATATGCAACAGTTGTTGTTTTTCGATGTGTTGCTGCCCTCTAGCGGACAGTAACAGCCTATGTGTGAGTGGTGCCGTTTTTGTAGAGAGTATCTCGATTAAGCTCTACTCTGTCTATCACAGGAAATAATCGGCAAAACGGATTCAGAATTAACCAGTTTTAAATAAATCAAATCAAAAAGTTTTCTGTTTGCTCATGGGGGAGAATGGACCTTTCCCTAAATAAAGACATGATTTTGGTTACTCATGGAATTTTAGAGAGGTCAGATCCAATAGGCCAATTAATGACTAACTTTGGCTTGTGCACAGCGCATGGCAGGAAAATGGGGATAAAGTGTGATTAGCGGCACCAGTCAAGGCAAGAGGAAAACCAGGAATGGCTCTGGAACAACTGGGATTTATTGATAGTACACAAAACCACTGAGTGAACCTGCAGTCACACAATGTCATCAGCTACGTATGCACAGGAAACCAATCCCATATCAAAGATTCAGGTGTCCTCCTCAGACTGCCCTGTGTCCTGTGCACAGTCGCTGTGGTCTGCGCCACCTCCTGACACCCACTGCCCAACTACCAGGCACTGAGGACAGTGTGCAGGAGCTGTGCAGAGAGCCAGCTTTCCCAGCACAGCCTCCGCAACTCTGATAGACACTCTGTTATTAACTGCCGGAGCGAGGCAGACACTTGCCGCCGCGCGGCTGCCTTCGCTTCTCATTAGTTTTGCTCTGTCCCCCCGCGACCAGCTGAGGATGTGACCGCTAATCTGTCAAGGCGGTAAGAAATCATGCAGACAAGCCCCGCTTCCAAAAATACGTTGGGCAGAGGGAGGCATCGGTGCGGCTGGGGAACGGCGGTAAGCGCGGTGCGGAGGTGCCGCATAGCACGCCTTCGCCGCTCCTGGACCGCGGGGTCCATTAGACCAATTAGTCAGCCAAGCTGCGCTTAATACTGCGTCATGAACAATACAGCAGCATCAGACATAACAGCTTACGCATCTTCTAAGAGCTGCAAGCCCACGTAAGTAGACTAGGTGCTTCAGCACCAGGATTTCAGCAGAATACGGACGGTTTGGAACTGCTGCTTTCTGAGGAATACTGATTCACCAGACTGGTGTCGCAATGTAAAGCAAGAGTGCACATACATATTCATGGGTTGCCGACCCGCGTGTAGTTTTTATAAAAACATATGTGCTCTAGGTCCTACTTGGGGTGATGTTACCGTGATGAATACCTGATGGAAAAAATGGGCCAACATGAAACGCGTTCAGCTGGCCTCGTGCCAGTTACTTCCGTGTCTTAAAGCACAAACGCACGCCAGCCAATTAGAATCTGGTGACTTGTGCCCGACATAAAATAAAGCAAGACATTTAGTCTGCCCTTCTCCTTGTGTCATGAAGCCATTTTACTTTGATGTATTTTCAAACGAAAATCGAGGATGTCCTGGCTAGGAGTGCCAAGGTGTGCTCTGAGCCAGTGTTGCCAAGTGGAATATTTCCTGACTGTCCTACTTTGTTTAATTGCTTGAAAAGTTCCCCTTGCCTCTCCCAGCCCTCTCTCTTGCTCTGCCACTACTGTAATCTGTCACACTGTTCCATTTTTAGCCCCAGACTGAGGGCCAAGTCAGTGCCTCACTCCAGTACAAATCGCACCGGTTCCTCCTACTGTCTCCAGGCAGGACCCTGAGCCCTGGTTTGTCCCAGTGAAGACAGCAGATTAAGCTGAGGTCAACAATTCTTCCATCAAAGCTGAAAATTCCGCTTGCAGTTTCAGGATGGCGAAGCACCGCAGCGACATGTCTGAGCTGTACTTAAATCTAGTGACTTACGGTTCGAGTTTGATGTCGGGGTTTGATGTTAGGATTTAATGATGACTGGGATTGCGTTTTCTCAGGAGCTGAGCTCTGTTTCTTCAGTGAGGGGCCTTATCGCTAATGTG